ATTTGCAGAAGCTGCGGCGCGTGGTACAGCAACATCTGGTGCAGTCGCCCCGATGCGCGTGCCTCGTGCTACTGCGTTGCTGCCCCCCGAGGAAGTGGACTTCTTGCAGATTGTCGCTTGCCCCCGCAAGAACAGCAAGGCCTTTGTAGAGGTGCGGGCCCTTTGGCTGCTGCGCGCCGCCTTGTTGCGTGTGCGGGCACCCTTCAGTGGCTTTGTTGAGATGCTCGCGGACTTGCACGCGCTGCCCGCGGATAGACGACATGACTGCATGCGGTTCGAGCAGCATTGGTTGTTGTTGGAGGCTTTGACACTGCTTTGGCAGCGAGTGCCCGAGGTGCTGCCTTCTTTTGCTTGGCCGCTGGACGGTCAGCATCAGACCGACGCGTGGCTGCTGTGTCTGGACCGACTTTTGCCCTTGCTGAGCAGCCTGGTCCGCGACCTGCACTTCCGGGAACATAGCTGCACCCTGTGCGCAGTGCCGGCGGTGACGGTAGATGCTAAATATGGTATGACCTGCTCCTTGTGCAACCATCGAGAGGGCGGGGTGGTTGCATACCCCGCCATCGAGTGCTCAGTCATGTTTGGCTGTCAAAAGGCCCCGGCTCCTGGACACATGTGCCTTGGCTTGTTTGGTAAAGTTTTGACTTCTTTCTAGTTTGCCTTTTCATGCTTTTGCCCTGTGCTTCCGTGCTGTGTGCGTTTTCAGGTACTGTCGCGACCATGCGGCTGGGGGGTTCGGTGGCGGTGCCGTCGGACGACACTATCTTGCGGCATCGCGACGTGGATGGAGTGCGTTCCTACAAGGTGCGTGGGTCAGCGGCGTGGCGGCTGGCGTCTGCTCTCTCCCCGGAGGCCATTCAAGCGTATGAACGGCGCTTGGCCGAGCAGCATGAGCGACGCAAGCGACGCCGTTGCGCTGCAGCGGCCGCGGGACCTGTTGCCCCTCCTGCAGAAGTGGGTGACACGGTGTTCCAGGATGCCCTGGAACCTGAGATGCACCCGCAACCGGACGACGTCAATCCATGTGGCATCGACAAAGTCGTCCTGCTGCCCCGCCGGTCCTACGGGGGGCTCTTGGTTGCGACGCTGCCGTGCGGCCGCGTTTGCGCTGCCGTGCCGCTTGCACATGCTGAGTCGTTGACCCAAGTGTATGCGTTGCTCTCGACGTTAGTGTTGGAGGATACCGACGTGCGCTGTCCGCTCCAGTATGTCATCTACGACAACGCCTGCGCGTTGGCGCGGTTTGCGCGCCATCCAGTGCGCAAGGACCGCACGGACGCTGCAGTGAGCTTAGCCGGGTTGACCTACGTGCTGGATGGTTTTCACCAGCAGAACCACACCAGCTGCCTTGATCCGACACACGCCTTGCACATGCCCGAGGTGTTGCGTGCGCGGCATCCCAGGTTGCAAGATGTCAACACGCAGACCGCAGAGCAGTTCTTTTCGTGGTTGGACCCGTTTGTGCGGTCCGCCGCATGCATGACCCCCTCCGTCTTTCGCGTTTTTGTACAGATCCTAATTCATCTTTTTAATTCTTTTATCTGCGCGTCACACGGCCGACGGGTTCGTCCGCGGCCTGTGCGCGTGCCTCCACCGTTGGCGGGGAGCCGGGCGCGCCAGAGTGCTGCGGCCGTTGACTCGGATCCCGCGCAGCTGCCTGACACGGTGGCCCTGCCCGTGCGGCTTCGCCGCAACCCTCGCGGTGTCGGTATCTGGGGCGCTGGTAAATACCATTGGCAGCGTCCTTCGGATACGGACAGACCACCTTGCAAGCTCGTGTGGTTTGAGACGTTGCCGGATGCGTTGGATACGACAACAGCCGGCATTCGCTGGGTTGCGCCGTGTGGGTGGATTTTGCTCCTGCACGGCAGCAGCTACGAGCTCTGTCGCGTGTGCGCGCGAGCGATGCAAGCTGAGGGTCTTCTTTGAACTCCTGGCCTCGTTGGCCGATGCAATCTCGTGGTTGCGGACGCAGGGGGTCACAAGCATCCCCAGTTGCTGCTGGTTGCCTGGCAGCTGAAAACAGTGAGCGTTGCCAGTGCCAGTGTGAACTTTGCACGGTGCGCTTGGGTGCGTTTGTTGCCCCGCATGCTGCTGTTGACTTGCTTTTTTTTCCCTCGGGGACGTCTTCAAGTTAGGTTGCAGTGTTTCGACCGTGCGGGACCACCTGGTACTCTGATGGCCAAGCCACGTGAGGCGCGCCTTCCCACAGGTGAGGAGGTGGACGAGTTTTTTTCAAAAACTCGAAGCAGAGGCCACATTTCCGGCGGCTGCGCTGGAACAGCTGGCTCCGCCTGAGCTTGTGTCTTTGTGGAAGGACATCGCTGCCACGCAGAGCGTGGCCTGGCCCTGGGTGATGCTGTGCGAGCTGGCGCTGGCCAGTTTCCTCACGCCCAATGCTCGCCTCCACCCTTTGGCTAGCTTTACAGTCTTCTCTTTGACGTGGACCTTTTTTGTTCACCCGGGCAGCTGTCATACATCCAATTTGCTTCGCCTCTACCAGAATGTCTTTCATGGCATCGAAAAGAAGGTGAACCGGTATCGGGCGGAAGAGTGTGCTCGTCTGCGGCAGCAGGTTCAGGCTGGAGCGGACGGCCAGGCGCTGCTCAAACAGCGTCTGGCCAAGCTCCAGCCGCTGGCGCTGCGCTTGGGCACCGGATCCTTGGAGGGCATAGGCCTGCGCATGAGCCAGTTTCCCGATTGGACAGCTACCTCCGGCTTTCTGGTGGAGGGCCTCCAGTTCGTTCAGTGGCTTCAAGCGGAGTTCGGTTTGAACCGTGCTATAGCCACGCAACTGTGGGAACGCATGTCCTGGCAGCGGGATGTGGTCAACCAAGGCCGCTCCTTCGACATGACGTATCCATTTCTCGGTGTGTGCGGTGCGCTGCACCTAGAGGACGTCTGGCCGATGTTTGCCCAGCCAGACCCGCTTGGATTGCGGGGTCGCCTGTGCTTTTTCTACAGCCGGCCGGCGCTCAAACGAGCGCGCGAGATTGAGGAGGCCAATGCGCGCTTGCAGAACTACAGGGGCTCCAACAACTTGGAACACACTTTGGTGGAGCGTTTCTGGCGCATTTATCAAGCCCATGCACACGAACATCGCCCGGCTGCTGCGTTCAGCTGGCACTTGGAGTACCCGTTCCTGAACTATGCCTTCGGGGATGGAGATGATGCCGCCAACATCTTTGCACGTGCGTTCGACGAACACGTGCAACTGCAGGCAGCCATAGGGGACTGGTTTCGATGTTTCTTGTCTTTCTTCGCTTTTGCACTCTTAGCTTTGCGCCACCAGTGCGGGATATCCACCGTGATGAGACACAACATACTGGGACCTTTTTTTCTTCCGTGTGATGGTTTCACTGGACCTCGGGGATGGACTTAGGGGTTTCCCGCGCTGGTTCAACAGTTACATACTTCCGTTGCACTCGGCGCCTGCAGGAAGAGACCTACCTCGTTCAGCACGAGGTGAGCAAGCGGCACGGCAAGCTCAAGGGGAAGCACCTGCGCCATGCGCTCAACTGGCACAACGTGGTCTGCGGGTACCATCAGAGCGACCCTCAAGCTTGGCCCACCACGGTGACCGCGGCCAGCCTTCGCGCTGCTGAAATCCTGGGTGGCTACTGCGAGCAGGTGGCCGAGGTCATCACCAAGTTTGCGGCGGAGATTCAGAAACGGGAGACGGCCGCCAAAGAGGACAAGACGGAGAAGAAGGATGGGCGTACTCAGGGGAATCACATCGACGCTCTGCGTCGCATGAGCTGTGAGGACTTCCTCGGAGCGGTTCCTCCTGGCCATCGACTGCACCTTGTGGCCTTTGGAGCAGTTTTGCTCAAGATGCACACCGTCTGGCTGGACTCCACCGCTTTGCGCTCGCATTGCTTCGTTCGTGATACCTTTCCGGGGCTGGCGGCAGAAGCCAAACTCCTCTTTGTTTGGCGCACCGTGTCGCTGCTGGAGCGCCTGTCTGTGTGCATCTGTGGTCTCACTAC